TACCCAGGGGGACAGCTTGAGGCTCCTGTCTCAAAAAAAAAAAAAAAGAAAAGAAAGGAAAAAAGTTAAATGAGCACAGGAATTAGCAGTGGATAGAGGGAATGGTTTGGAAGGGACAATAGATAAGCCTGACCATGGGAGAAATCATGAGGCTGGTTTCCTAAAATGATGGTGAGATAGAGGGAGGGAGTTAGACATAGTCCCCTGCCTTGAGGGAAACAGGAATGGACAGGGAGGACTGGAATTTGTTCAGTCAGTAAACTTACTGACTTCTCACTTTGATCCCTGGGAGCACAAGCTGAAGTCACTCTCTAGGATGAAAGACTGGCACACAGACATGTAGGTATGAACAATGTGATTTGTGCTATAATGTTTGAGCACAGCAGGTGGGGCATAAGCCAAGATGTTCACTGACTTACCAGACAACTCTATATACGTGCCCTGTAGGTTTTACAAACAATGTATACCAAACTGAATTCATAGTATCTTCTTCCAACCCTTCCCTCTCTTGCAGGGGGGAGGGGGGGACCTTCTCCTTTACTATTTTCTGAGTTAATAAATGGCACCACTAGCCAGCTGATTTTGCCAGCTAAAAAGATAGGAGTCATCTCTGAGTGCTCTTATTTATTTTTCACCTCTTTCCCTACCCTGTGAATTCTGCTTCACTCCCTCTCCTTGCCACCACCCTAAACCAAGCCACCATTGTCACCCTCCAGACTACTATGATGGCCTCTCAACAGAATTCCCACGATACTAATTCCCTCCCATTCTGGCTTCACTGTGAAACCAGAGGGAGACTTTATTTGTGTTTGTTTGTTTTTGAGAGAGTCTTGCTCTTTCTCCCAGGCTAAAGTGCTATGGTGTCAGTCTAGCTCACTGCAACTCCAAATTACTGGGTCCAAGCGATTCTTCTGCCTCAGCCTCCTGTTCCTGAGTAACTGGGGCTATAGGCATTTGCCACAATGCCTGGCTAGTTTTTCTATTTTAGTAGAGATGAGGACTCATTATCGCTCAGTTCTGGTCTGGAAATCTTGAGCTCAAGCAGTCTTTCCACCTGGGCCTCCCAGAGTGCTAAGATTACAGGTGTGATACACTGTGCCTGACCGAAAGTTAAGGCTTTATTTATTTATTTTTAGAGACAGAATCTCACTTTATCACCCCCAGTAGAGTGTTGTGGTGTCACAGCTCACAGCAACCTGAAACTCCTGGGCTCAAGTGATTCTCTTGCCTCAGCCTCCCAAGTAGCTGGGACTATAGGTGCCTGCCACAACACCCAGCTATTTTTTTAGCCCAGGTTGGATTCAAACCTGCCAGCTCCCGTGTATGTGGTTGGCACCCTAGCCACCTGAGCTACAGGTGCCGAACCGAGTTAAGGCTTTAAAGTGTAAAAATTAGTATATAATCAAGTCTCCATTCCTTAACCTGACTACAGAGCCCTTGTTTCAACCGTACTTTGCACCCCCCAGTCACTGATCCTGGCCGTACAAAACATTTCTCTGTTTCTTTGTGTGTATGGTTGCTCACAACTGGTCCTGTGCACAGCACTGGAACCACACCATGTGCCTCACTAATCTCTCATACTTCAGATATTAGCTTAACCGCAGTCTCTTTAAGGAGGCCAATAGCAAAGATGAGGCCACCCCTGTTTTCCTCCCCCACGTAAGCTTTACTTACCTTTTCTTTTTTTCTTTCTTTTTTTTTTTTTTTAGAGGCAAGAGTCTCACTTTATTGCCCTCGGTAGAGTGCCACGGTGTCACACTGCTCACAGCAACCTCCAACTCCTGGGCTTAGGCAATTCTCTTTCCTCAGCCTCCCGAGTAGCTGGGACTATAGGCACCTGCCACAGTGCCCGGCTATTTTTTGTTGCAGTTCAGCCAGGGCCGGGTTTGATCCCGCCACCCTCGGTATATGGGGCCAGTGCCCTGCCCACTGAGCCACAGGCACCGCCTACTTTAACTTTTCTTTTGGAACCTTGAGTACACTTGTACTTAATTCCCGATTTAAAAATCTTTCTTCGTGGCTCAGTGCCTGTGGCTCAAGTGGCTAAGGCACCAGCCACATACACCTAAGGTGGCAGGTTCAAATCCAGCCCGGCCCACCAAAACGATGGCTGCAACCAAAAATTAGCCAGGCGTTATGGCGGGTGCCTGTGGTCCTAGCTACTTGGGAGGCTGAGGCAGGAGACTTGCTTGAGCCCAGGAGTTAGAGGTTGCTCTGAGCTGTGAAGCCATGGTACTCTACCCAGGGGGATAGCGTGAGGCTCTGTCTCAAAAAAAATATTTTTTTTTTCTTCATAAAACCTGTAAGGTCCAGAAGAAAGCACAGTGCATATCTGACGCATGGTAGCTATTAAGTAAATACATATTTATTAGATGAATGAAGATAGGAATGATTGTTTCTTCAGGAGCTGTGGAACAGTACAAATGTCTGTGAAGTGATAGTTGGGCTAGAAAAATAGAATAGAGATCTCAACTCTTTGCAGGCCATTTTGGAGTTTGTGGATAAGCATTCATAATGTCTGCTTAACTTTTTAGACAAAGTGGTGAAGAAAGGAAAGAAGGATAAGAAGACCAAAAAGACGGTGAGAAAATAAGGGTTGAGGCTCGGCGCCTGTGGCTCAACCGGCTAAGGCGCCAGCCACGTACACCTGAGGTGGCGGGTTCGAATCCCCAGCCTGGACCCGCCAAACAACAGTGACGGCTGCAACCAAAAAA